ACACCCATCTATATATATATATATATATATATAGGCGAAACCAACCTCTTTTATAGGGGGCGCAAAAATCCCTCTAGACTCGATTTTGAATGGGCTAGGACAATGAAAGATAAAGTAATTAGGAAGGACAAAACTGATATTTCATGAGGGTCAAAAGACTAAATTGTCTCCAGGAAGCGTGATTGCCTCAGGACTTTATCTAAGTCTACCCTTATGTATAAATTTATGAATGGAAATGAAATTTTAGATTAAAAAAAAAATAAATAAATAAATAAATTTGAATGTGTTAAGAATTTAAATTGAAATCATATTCAAAATAGAGGTGTAAAAGCTGGTCATCACAGTTTAAATTATTTAAGACAGTTTTCTGTCTATTTTGTGTTTCAAACTGTCATTACAGTTTAATTATTTTTAAAAATTTTTATTGCGAGAAATAACTTTTTTCAATCTTTCATGCTAAAGTACGACATTGTAAGGAAACACTATGATTTTTTTAATAAAATACATTTTGTAATATTCATCATAATTTTTTTTTAAATTAGCTTCACCACCCAAACATACCCTTAATAATAGTTAATATAATATGCTAAAAGAAAAAAAAAATTGCAGATCTACCGATCTATGATTAAAGCACAAATTAAGTACATAAATTATTAGGTTGTTTAAAGTTTAAAACTATTTTTAACTTGCCAATTAATATCGCCCAATTTATTATTTTATTTTAATTAAAAATGTGGGGATGAAAGCTACATAAATAATTCAATTTCCCAAAATACATAGGAAAATCAAATAAAAAATAATTCCATTGCCGGGATTTGAACCCGGGTCGCCTGGGTGAAAGCCAGATATCCTAACCGGACTAGACGACAATGGATTGTTTCCTTCGTGTTTTACAAATAGCATAAATCTTCTCTCCTGACCTCTACGCTAGCTCTCTCATCTCTCAGGCAGTACTGAGCTAGAGAGAGAAAACATTCGCGTGAGAGAGTAGAGCGAAGAGATAGAGATAGAGAGAGATCCACCACGTTCGTTCTCTCTTTCTCTCTCTTTACTTCTCTTCTCGAGTTGAGGGGATCTGTAATTCTCTTCTAGAACCACATCTATTTCTTTAAAAGTGTTCCTCTTCCTTGTCTTCCTCAGTAAATTCCTCACTGTATCTTCAGTTCCTTACCTACCCAACTGAGCCTTCTTCTCCATGTTACAGCATGGAATGTAACCACTACCTGCATATAAAAAAGCCAACTTGATTCTATTTTTTTTAGACAATTGCTTGATTTACCGTGTTTTGTTGAAAAAGTTTTGATCTTTTGTTGAATTCAACTCGTCTCCTGTTCTTTTTGAGATTTATTTATTTATTTGGCTTGTTCTGCATTGCTTGGCTGGTGATTTGGCGGAGCGGAGTGAGATTTAGCTGCTTCTGGTTTGCGGCGAGCCTGAGGACTTGTTCTATTTCTATTCTGATTGATTTTCCAGCTCTTTTGATTCTTTGGAGATTGTGTTTTGTTTGTCTTATTTCAGAAAAATTTCTGTGAAGTTACTGTTCATCGCCACTGTATATCTTTTGGACGACTTTTGGTTTTAGCGCATGATTGTCGTCCCATGTTCGTTGCTTTTTCAGCTTCTTTTTAGTTAGGTCTGCCTCCATTTCAATGGAATTCAGAAAGTAAGCCATGAACTTCATAAAAGATCAAATTTTGTGAGCCTTATTGGATCCAAGATCCAATTTTGATCAAGAAATGCGACTTCTTTTTGTTTTTGTTGCGCTGTGGTTTGTTCTTGTTGGAGCCGGTTCAATCAGTTCAGACATAGCTGCATTAATGGAGTTCAAGAAGGGGATAAGTGAAGACCCCAAGGGTCTTGTTCTAAACTCTTGGGATCATTTTACATCAGGTTCTGAGGGCTGCCCTCCTTCCTGGAATGGCATCCATTGTAATGGAAATCGAGTCACTTCGATCTCATTGAGAGACATGGGTCTGGTAGGAAACATCAGTTTCTCCTCCCTTGCTCCAATGGATAGTCTGCACAATCTGTCTCTTTCAAACAATCAATTTACAGGAATTCTTACTCCTGATTTGGGAGCACTCAGCTCCTTAGAACATTTAGATCTCTCAAGTAATTCATTTCATGGGCGCGTACCTGAGGAGTTGATGAGATTGAGTAATCTCATCACTCTGAATCTCTCTTGGAATAGCTTTGAGGCTCCATTGCCTTCTGGTTTCAATAAGCTGCAGAAGCTGAAATGCTTAGATTTGCAGGCTAATGGCTTTAATGGTGATGTGGGGATTATTATTGGTCAATTACAGAGTGCTGTTTATGTTGATCTGAGCCAGAATAGATTCACCGGAGGGCTTGGCTCGATGTCTGATAACTCAAAGATTACTGGCTCTTTGGTGTTCTTGAACACCAGTCACAATTTTTTATCAGGAGAGCTGTTTGAAAAGGATGTGGTGCCATTGTTTGACAGTTTGGAGGTTTTTGATTCTAGTTTTAACAGGCTTAGTGGTCAGGTTCCCTCCTTCAATTTTATAGCTTCGCTTAAGATTCTTCATCTCGGAAGCAATCAGTTTTCGGGGCCTTTCCCTGAGGCGCTGTTCAAAGGTTTCTCAATGGTTTTGGCTGAGCTTGATTTGAGCTGCAATGAGCTCACAGGTAAATGAAGGGTTTTTAATGGTCTACTCACCTTTTTTTTTCATCTTTTTATGTATTTGACAGCACCCACTTTCATTCATTTTTCAAATTCTCACTTAAATATCAAATTCATTATAAAACCCCAACCATGGTTTTCATTTGAAAGATTTATATGCATGCCACTTGATTCTTATGTATGTATGTGTGTGTGTGTGTGTATATATATATATATATATTCATAATACCACCTTATCAATGCATGAAAATATGTGTTTCACTTTTTAAAAGCTCAAATGGTGGTATTATTGATGTTATATTAAAGATTTGGATAGTATAAACGTAAAAAAAGGCAAGGTTTAGGCATTAGATATATAAATACAAAAGAATTGATTGGTATGTATGTAAATGCCCATTAATTCTTCATTTTTATCAAATTCTCAACTATTTTATTGTGGCACGTTTAAATACATTGGTTTGATAATTCAAGAAATCATTTAGGCTCTAGTTTTGTAAATAACAATGTTACAAGCACTCTGTATGTAAATATCCCTTGACTTTGTCGCTACTATATTTTGTTCTAATATTGGTGCCACTTTTATGATATACCATGCATTTTATTTAGATTTTATAAAATGAATAATGATGCTTTTTGATCTTCAGAACTATAAATATCAAAATTTTACCTTATCTTTTAGCTAGAAGTTACTTAATTTATATGATTTTATAAGACTAATGATGATTTTTGATCTTTAGAACTATAAATATCAAAGTTTTCCCTTATCTTTTAGCTAAAAGTTGCTTAATTTATTTGATTTTATGATGCAGGTCCATTGCAGAGTATAACATCTACTACTCTGAAGAAACTAAATCTTTCCTCAAACAGTCTTAGTGGCTCTCTTCCTAACAAGATAGGGAGCTGTGCAATACTTGATTTGAGCAATAATCTATTTTCAGGGGATATATCTGCAATAAAAGGTTGGGGAAACTTAGTGGAATCCATAGATCTGAGCTCCAACAAATTGGGAGGAACTCTGCTGAACGAAACGTCTCAGTTTTTACGGCTGAAATCTCTGCGGCTTTCGAACAATTTACTGGAAGGAGAATTTCCTCCTGTGATTGTCACATATCCTGATATAATTTTCATAGATTTGAGTCTCAACAAACTCAACGGTATTCTTCCTCCAAGCCTATTTTCTTCAATCAGATTGATGAATCTGAATCTTTCATTCAACAGATTCACTGGACCTATCTTCCCAGAAAAATTGCACACAGAATCATTAGTTTCTTATGATTCCGCTTCACTCCCATCTCTGAATTCCAGTCTTGTCTCCCTCGATCTTTCAAACAATTTCTTAAGTGGATCTCTACCTCACGAAATGGTCTTCATGACTTATTTGCAGCTGCTGAATCTATCAAAAAATGATTTTTCCGGTCAGATTCCTAAAGCCATGGGGATGATTCAGAGCTTACTAGATTTAGACTTATCTCACAACCACTTTGAAGGCAACTTACCTGATAATCTTCCTTCCTCCCTCTTGAGATTCGACGTCTCATATAACAATCTTTCTGGTAATGTTCCAAACAACCTTTTAAGGTTTCCTGAATCCTCGTTTCGTCCGGGGAACGAATTACTGAATCTACCTCCCCAATATCCAAATATCGCGAGTATCAGCAGAAAAAGAAGCCATCACCATCACATGAAAAATGCTATAATTTACAGCTTCATAGCTGGAGCTGTTGTTTGTGCTGTTATGATTCTCTTATTCATACTTTTATATCAGAAACTATCTAAGGAACATGATAGAAGAATCACTGACGAGTTAAAATCTTCCATTCGAAGTTTTTTTCGCCCGCAAAAGAATTCGTTACATCCTCCTCCTTCTTCGAGCTTTTCGCAAAATCATTTAATTCAATCCAGATCTTTGTCTTCTCAAGCTGATCAAGGAATAGTTTCTGTAGCTTCCAGAGAAGCTGTAGATCCTGTGATGCAGCAACAATATGATGTTAATGATCAGCTCCTGCAGAAGACTAACACAATAACTTCATCTTCTTCAATTCACCAATCTTCATTACAGCACAATCCAACCCTTAATGTCCTCTCCCCAGATAGGCTGTCTGGCGAGTTACATCTCTTCGACAACTCGGTCGTGTTCACGGTTGAAGAGCTTTCTCGAGCGCCGGCGGAAATTATAGGCCGGAGCTGCCATGGAACGTCGTATAAGGCGACTCTCGATGGAGGACATGTGGTGGCGGTTAAGTGGCTTAAGGAAGGTATTGTGAAGAGTAAAAAGGAATTTTCAAGGGAGGCGAAGAAGCTCGGAAGCATTCGGCATCCAAATTTGGTTTCTTTGAAGGGTTATTATTGGGGTTCGAAGGAACATGAGAGGCTTTTGATATCGGATTGTATTGATGCCTTGCCTTTGAGTGTTCATCTTTGTGGTATGTTTTATTCTTTGAGATATTTACATACATACCGCTTAATTCTTATGAATTTACATGTATAACATCTAAATTTTGATTTTTATATTTATAACATTCAAATCTTTCATTTCACATTAAGAAAATGCTATTATTTTAACTTTTAAAAGGTGTAATACACTGTTTCAAGCATAGGCAAGGTGGCAATGTATGTAAAAATTGAAGTTTCGGTGTTAGATATGTAAATATATAGGAATTGAGGGGTATATGTATATCTTCTATATTCTTTTCCTTTTATTTTGTAGTATGTTACTTATGTTATTCTTTGGTTCTTTATGCTATTGAAAGTTTGTTTTACACATCTAACCCTCGCTCTTATTTTTCATAATCCATCCTCATTAAGTTTATTAATTTATCTCATTGGTGTTGCTTCTAACCTTCATTGTATTATTGATATTACAAAATTTCACATCCATCCTCAATTGATATTACAAAATTGATGAAAGGAAGATTATAAATTTTACAAAACTAACACCTAAACTTGAATTTTTGCAAATATGCCATCTCACCTATGCATAAAAGGGTGTATTTCACTTTCTAAAAGTTAAAATAATGGTATTTTTTATGCGATATGAAAGATTTGGGTGGCATAAATGTAAAAGGTAAGTCTAGGTGTTAGATATCATAAATGTAATAAATGTAAAAGGTAAGTCTAGGTGTTAGATATGTAAATACAAAAGATTTTTGGTGGTATGTATGTAAATGCACCTAAAATAAAATTCTTTATTTTATCTTTATTTGGTAATCCTACTGCTCATATTCTTAGATCTCTTCAATTTATATAACATTTGCATGTTTTAGTGAAAGCCTACATGTCTTAGAACTACACCATCTGCAAATAGCTTACAACTGTATATTTCATTTTCAACCCTGAGGTTTAGAATATAAAAACCAAATATGACTTTTTGCTTTGAGAAAGCTTGTTTGAACTTCCTCTTTTGCATGTATATGCCCTCAAATATACTTCTTTTTGGGGGACATTTACAAACATACCATCCAATGTCAATGTATTTACATATCAAACACCTAAACTTTATCTTTTACATTTATACCACACTTAAATCTTCCATATCACATAAAAAATACCATCATTTTGACTTTTAAAACGCGAAAAACACATTTCGCATGCATAGGTACTGTGACATATATGTAAAAGTTGAAGTTTACGTGTGTTAGATATATAAATACATAGGAATTAAGTGTTATGCATGTAAATGTTCCTTTTTCTTGGAATATTTACATACGTACCACTCAATTCCTATATATTTACATACAAACACCTAAATTTCAATTTTTACATATTCCACACCTTACCCATGCTTAAAAAAGTCTATTTTATATTTTAAAAGTTAAAATAATGATATTTTTGAAGTGATATGAAAGATTTGGATGATAATAATGTAAAGAGTAAAATTTAAGTGTTAGATATGTAAATTCATAGGAATTAAGTGGCATGCTTGTAAATATTCCTTTCTTTTAACTCATAAAAAAAAGGAGTAAAATAATAGAATTGATTGTTCCCTCACGTATTGGAAAAAATTTGCTTATATAAGACGTACGCAGAGCTGTATACGTCTGTAACCTTATAGGGAGGATATTTGGAGGTTATAATCGCGTTATAGCCCCTGTAACCTCCCTGTTAAATAATTATTTCCTCATAAAAAATTTGCACTTCTGTTTTCATATATATGTAGGTTATAGAGAGGTCAGGGGTTATAACGGGGTTATAACCTCCGAATATCCTCCCTGTAAACTATTTGTAGGTTACAGACGTACGCACTTATGTACGCAAATTTTTTCCCACATATTTCACCATGTCAAAACCTAAAATTCCTCCAATCTGCACAATTATTTCCAAAAAAAAAGACCCAATAATTTTTCATATTTACCATATGATCATCCCAAATGCAGAATTCGAACAACGGAAGATGGAACCCTTACCTCTCCGCAATCGCCTCGCGATCTCCACCGACGTCGCTCGATGCCTCAATTACCTCCACAACGAGAAATCCATACCTCATGGAAACCTCAAATCCACCAACATCCTCCTCCAACGCGCAGAAATGAGCGCCCTCCTCACCGATTACAGCCTCCATCGGATCCTGACGGCTTCCGGCATGGCCGAGCAGGTGCTAAACGCCGGCGCCCTAGGGTACCGGCCGCCGGAGTTCGCCAGCACGAGCAAGCCATGTCCGTCGCTGAAGAGCGACGTGTATGCGTTCGGCGTCGTCCTGCTCGAGCTCATTACGGGGAGAAATGCCGGCGAGATTGTCTCGGGGAATCCCGGCGGTGTGGATTTGACGGATTGGGTGAGATCGATGGCGGGAAATGAGATCTCTCATGAATGTTTTGATGAGAAGATCGTGGAAGAAGGAAGAGGGGATGGAGATGGGGGCGTTTTGGAGGTGTTGTTTGGAGTGGCTCTGAGGTGTATTAGATGTGCTGATGAGAGGCCTGAGATTAGAACTGTGTTTCAAGAGCTTTCCTCAATGTTCATTTTGATGAGTTCTCGAGAAAATATTACATCTGGATAATCAAATGTGTGGATGACAGTGTAGATCATATCATGTTATTGTTGACGTGATGACGATCAATTCTTATTGACAACAGCGTAGTGCGATCTACACTGTAGTCTATGTCGGAAGAACAACGAATGACAAATGTAATATTTTCTTCATATTTGAGTGTATTTTCGTGCTCTTTGTTTTGGTTGGTTGGTGGAATAATGTTCATTATTTTGTGAAAAATTTGGAGATTCAAATTTGTGTTATATTACTCTTATAATTACTTTCAATGAAAAATAGATTTTTTTTTTTTTTTAACTTAAATTTGTTGGTGATGAGATTTATTTTATAATGTGTATAATGAGAGAGTTTTCTTTGTGTAGAAATTTAACTTTTTTGAGATATTTGAGCAAATTTAATAAAAAAATATACACATATTGTATATGCAAGTTAAGGTAATTTGCATAAATATAATAGTTATTATGCATTAATATGAGCTTAAAAATTTATCATTTTTAAATTTAGATTAGTGTATTTTGATTCAAATTTTCTCTTTTATGGGTTTGTTAAGGTTTTGAAAATTGAAACTCAAATCAAACCCAAAGAGTGAAATGTTTAAGTTTCGTTGACTCATTGGGGTTGAACCGGCATTAATAATATAATAAATTAATAATAAAAATATTTTTAGGCTTAATTTATAAATGAGCCAAACACGAATAAATATTTGTCCGTCCGTACTTGACTTTTTTGGTTTGAAATAATTAAATAATAAAATAGTTATATTTATTTATATCTTTTTATATTAATTTTTTATATGTACTAAACAAATGCTAATTTTTCTTATTTTTTAAAATTATTTGAGTGGTATATTTATAAAAAAAAATAAAAATTTGGTCGTTAGATACGTAAATAACTAAGATTAAGTTGTATGCATGTAAATACTCACATTTCCGTGCATTGCATTTAATAATTTGCTGTGGCATGCAAGGAAGTACTCCTAGTTACCTTTAGTCCCATATCGACATTTTCATCTTTAGGAATTCTGTATATCTCTATAAAATGAACTTCATTCAAACCGTGACTGGTTAGCCAGCTTTAAGGTCAGATAGATGGTTTAGGCTGGCACGAGATTCGTGAAATTGGACTGCGAATTTAGGATCTGGTAGGATACGCCGAAGTTGTTTATGGAAGAGCTATGAAACTTCTCATGGAACAATTTAATTAATTATTCAGCATTTTGTCTTTCGCCACCGCTAGTAACAGTTTAGTTTTAACCAGCATAATGACAGCAGCTGAAGCTGATTCATCTGGTTCAGAAAGCAGTGGCCCAGATGAGCAGCAAAAGCGGTCACATTCTGAAACACAAAACCAGCCTTCTGCAACTGGAAATTTGCAAACCGGCATTGCAATGCCTTCTACTGTTGTTCATTTTGTGCCCCACAGTCAGCTTGCAGCAGGGCATATCATGGCACCGGTGGCGTACCGAATGCTGATCCTTGTTATGGAGGCATCATGGCTGCATACAGCGGTCGACATATGCATCCGACCATGACAGGAATCATGCCTGGGGAGCCATTGCCTACCGAAGAACCCGTGTATGTGAATGCCAAACAATATCACGGCATTCTGAGGCGTCGCCAATCTCGTGCAGAAGCTGAATCGGAAAATAAATAGATCATACATTCATGAATCTCGACATTTACACGCAATGAGAAGAGCCAGGGGAAAAGCTGGTGCTAGCGGGTTCAATGCGATTTTTTAGAGCCGGACCACCGGCAAGTTCATGGTTGAACCGGTTGAATTGAAAGATTCAATGCGATTTTTTAGAAGTGATAGGAATTTTTTGTATGATTTAAATATAAAAAAAACAAAAATTAGATATTAGATATAAAAATATATAAGCATGTAAATGTCCTTTTGTTATGAAATATTTAGGTACATTTCACTCAATTTCTATATATTTATATACTTAACACTTAAATTTTAATTTTTATATACATATAATTCTATTTATACTTGAAAAATGTATTTCAATTTTTGAAAGTTAAAAATGATGTTTTGGAAGTGTTATAAAAGATTTATGTGGTATGAATCTAAAAACATAATGTTTTAGAGTTAACTAAGGGCCCGTTTGGGGCAGCTTATTTGGTATGGTGGGTAGATTATTCTGATAATCTGATAATATCATAATCTGCAGATTATGAGAATTAAAATTTTATAGTATGAAATATATTTCACTTTTTGAAGGTTAAATGATAATATTTTTAGATGATATAAAAATTTTGGGTGACATATATCTAAATAGTAAAATTTTGGGGTTGGATATCTAAATATATAAAAATTGGGTTGTATGTATGTAAATGCCCAAAGTTTTCTTGTTCAACGAGGAGGGTTTTAGTTATTTGGTACGAGTTCAGAGGATCTGAAGTCTTCTCCGGCGATGCTCTTGCGGAGGTTCTGCACCTCCGTCGCTCGAACCCAAACCCATTATCTTCTCTCCAGATTCACTCCAAAACCTAGCTCTAGGTTTTCGCCTGACAGAAACAGCCTTCCATTTCTGAAACAGAAGGAGAGCTTCGGTTGCTCTTTCATGGCTTCCACTTCCCGTTCCGACGACGTACGGCGGAAAGATTACGTTCCACTGCCTCCTGATTCGGCCGATAAGGTTTGTAACTGAACCCTCTGATTTGAGCTCTTCTAAAGCCTTGTTTCTTTCTCTTGTGTCGGCTTTTTCGGGAAGAATGCGTCGGTTTGTTACGCGAATACGCCACATTTTAGGTATTCTTTAAGATTTGGGGCAGGGGGTGCATGAGAACTGGTGCGATCTGAAAAATTTTAGAACAATTCGGTGCCCTAATTTCTCTCTTTTATGTTTATTTATTGGGAGAAGAGAAAAACAGGAAGGAAGGATCAGAATTGGGGAATTGTTATTAAAATTGCTTATCCTCTAATACAATCCAAATTGGCCTATATATAACCCCAGTATTATATAAAAGAAACTGAACCTAAGGGGGTGTTTGACTGCAAGTAGAATTTAAGTTGAATAAGATTTAGCAGATCCGATAAATTTGGATTTATCATATTCAAGTTCTGTAAATCCAGAATAGTGTTTGATTTAATTTAAGGCTAAGTCTTTTGAAGTTGTTTTTCGGTTTGGCATAAATCCACCCCTATAACTTTCTTCACAAGTTAAATCCATTACAACAACAACAACAAAACTAAGATACACGTAGATAATTCTTTCGTTAATAACATAAAAAAGGTAAGCATAATAGCATAAATTATCTTTTATTATGTCAAAATTTAACTCTTTTTAATCAACTATTCATTAAAAGAATAAAAGGATGATCGACTTCTTTGGCATGTACTTCTGCTTCACATTCACTATCATCATCATCATTAAATATTATAGATTCTAACTCTGCCTCATCAATATAAAGATTTGCAATCTCAATAATTCTCGCATCATCGAGTGTCTCGAATCTATCTTCTATAACATCCCATATATTGTTGTCACTTTCCATGTAATTTGGAGTCTTTCTCGATAACAAATGAAGGTTAGTACGCACGTAAACTAAATTTTCAACTCATTGTGGATTTATTTGGTTCTTTTTCATTGATTGTATGAATAAGTGCTCTAATTTCCCCCACAACATAAGGGGGGTGGAACTTGTCCAAGAAGTTTTATAGAAATAGTTTGAAATAAAGAGTAAATGTTTTTTTTAAATGACAGCATCACAAATATTGCTCAATCATATGATTCACTTATGTATGTTGGTACTTCTGAGGATGATGGGAGCTGCTAAAATTCAGCTGAGTATTGATTAAGTGAAGGAATTCTTTCCAAAAATAAGGTAAGTAGGGTTACACTCGTGATAGATTTTGATGATCTGTGAAGGCGAATGATATTTGAAATGAAAATCTCGGGCACTTTAATTACAGTGAATCTTATGGGTAAAAGTGAGAAATGTGCATTTTATGAGAATCGATCAGCTACACCAAAAATGCAAGTTATACAATTTTAAGTTGGAAGGCTAGTGATGAAATCATTGAAAATCTCTTCCATATTACATTTGGGACATTTAATCGTTGTACTAATCCCGTCATCTGTTTGATACTGGAACTAGTTAGGATTTAACGGAAACACAAAACCAAACTTTTTATTAATATAGAAATAGGGCTACAACACGACACAAACAGGAAAGGAAATACAAACAAAAACTAATCTCTGGCGAGGTCGAAAGAGAAGATCTATGGGCGGTGATGGCTTCGGCAATATGGTAAGGGTATGGGGAAAGGGGTGATGGCTGCAAGGCCGGTTGGGAGGAGTGTGGTGGCTGGTAGGTGTACTCAACAATAAGGGTGGCTGCAGGTGAAGGGTTGATGGGGGCTGGTGGGCAATTTGGAGCGCTGGGACAACCCCACTAATTATTGTAATTAGGAGGCCTGATTTGGGGAAGGGTTTGGAGTGGTGGACAACAACTAGGATTGCTAGTAAGGGGTTCATGGGTTAGGAGGTGGCTTGGACAGTAGGGACAACTGCAGTAGAGTCGATCAAGGGGCTGGGGCTGGGGATGGAGAGGAGTTGGCTGGCAGCCTATGGGGATGTAGGCAACAGGTTAGGGAGGAAGATAAGCGAGGATGCAATATCTCCTTAGATTGGGATGTAACCGAAGCACAACCCGTCATCGGATACATTCTTAGCAAGGGACAAAAGACTCCAAAGGAGAAATATGATGACAACAACAAGCAAAAACTAACATTAATTCCAGTAAACAACTCCTATATAATTGCTAATAGATAAATTAAGAACGGAAGGTTTCCCTTTTGGGCGACAACCAAAAAGGAAAGAGGAAGAAGCGACAAAAACAGGGGAAGCGGGAAGGAGTAGCTATACTTTTTGCTCTTGGAAACCGCAGACGGGCCGGTTCAATCTTTTACTAGACCAGAATACTCAAGGGCTAAACCAATCAACAGGCTCAATCATTCCTCTGTGCCCCATCCGTCGGTTTCGCCTATCCCCTGAGCCTCGCTCAAATCCAAGCCCCAATCAACTCTGAGCCCCGCATCTTATTTTTTTTTCTTGGACTCAACAGAAAAAATAAATTGACCTGTTGGAGATATTAAACCATATCTGATTGTGTAAGTGTGCTATTTAATAGGATCAATATTTATATTGGTATATATTTGTCATAACACGATTTAGGGCTTGAAATTAATCAAGACAGGAGCAGACGGTTTGATGTTAAAATTAAGTTTTTTATTATTCTATTTCTATCAGTAATAGTTTATAATCCATATAAAATGAAAGAGTCACTAAAAAAATAATTTAATTACGAAATTTAAACTGTCTTTTTTATTTGTTGATCTCGCATTCTAAACACATTATTTTCTCTAGAATTCATCTTATTAAAAAAATTAAACCTAAAAAATATTAAAAAAATATACTGAATTATCTATGATAACTCAGTGAAGAATCACACTTCTAAACTATAGTAATGCAAGCAAAGAAAACAATATGCATGTCGATATTTCATATTTCACTATAGAAAGTGTTATAATAATCTAATGTATGTGTCCATGATATTCACTTAATGTAAGTAATTTAAACTTTGATATGCGTTAATTTTAAAATATGCGTGTTTAATCTTTAAGTTTACTTTTACTTCAGACTCTGAACATTCATTTTCATCTTAGGAGCACTGTCAAAACATAATTTAATACAACTTTGACTAATAGTATTCTGTCGGCACAATGATTTGTGATATAATTTAAATAATTATTTGATGTGAAATGTGTCTACTCTCTCATCGACACAATGATAATTTATCAAAATTATACAATTATTTGAGGTGGTAGGATGTCTACTTATCCTAGACAGATACTCTATCATAGACAACGGTTAGTGAACTTTCATAATTGTCTGAGATGGTAAGAAAAACATCTATGCACGCAGGTACATTGATGTTCCTAGCTAGTACCACAAAAAGGTGAACTCCTCTTAACATTCACATACAAACATTTATATTTTCACTCTTCATAGCATGCATTACTCATGTGACACTTTGCATTCATTCATTCATGAATAAATGAACGTTTACTAGATTTAAATGGGCATATAATTGTCTAATAACATCATAGGTAATCAATTTTGCAACATTTTATATAAGAGTGTTAACTTGCATACTTTTAAATGTCATGTAATAATATGTTATATGTTTTTCTTATGGAATCTAAAGATCATTCAATAACTTAATATATACACCTTTTTTAGAATTTGAATGTTATGCAATAGTTAATATGTGCACCCCTACTATAATTAAATTTCATTTAATAATCTAATAAATTTATAGGAAATTCATTGTGCGGCTATTTAATATGTATTTTTTTCTTACAATATGAAGAATCTGCTATAATCTAAATCACTTTGAAATAAAAGATAAATGAAATCAAATATACATTTATAGATAATGAAAATTACTGAAATTTAAAAATATAATTGTTCATCTTTACTTTTCAAAGACCTTTTCAAAAACTTATTCCTTAACTTTACCTCCTTAAAGGCTTCATTTGCTTCCTCACACATAATTCTCCTACTTCCCCCTGCTAATTAGTTTAGATCAACCTTTATTCTTCTCCTTTACGGTCTTCCTTCTTTCTCCTGTAACTTGAGTATTCTTATGTTGTTGATTTCTCAATTATCTCTTCTTCTTTTGCACAAACATTGACCTCAGTTTCTATATATTTTTTTTAAGTCCATTGCTTATCTGAATTTAATCACTTAACTGTCGCCAAGTTTTCTCGATCAAATCCAATTTCTTCGTGACTTTATAGTTTCAATTTCCACATTAAGTTCCTCCCACACGAAGTCTTTTTCTCGCACATTCGAACTCACACAGCTCGTCTGCTTGAACGCACACACCAGGGTTCTATTCTTTCTTCCTCCCTTGCACTGTTCTCCTACTTCTTCATGCAAAGCTGGGTGGTGCTACTCTTACTTGAGGCACTTGACTGCTTCTTCCTTCACTTGAGACGTCTCTTTCTTGCCCTAGGCACACATATTGAACATTCCCTCTCCACCTTTGCACAAGATGCGTGTGTGACTCACCTCCAAAGCCATCGCTTGATTCTCCCTCTTTCGTGTGCGCAGGGTTTCCTCTTCGTCTTGTATGATGCACAAGCCACTTGTTTCTTCCTCTCGCAAGAGGCGTTGCACTGTCCATCCCGCACGCCGCATCGTTGACATGTCTCTTCTTCACGCATGATGCTCCTTTTTTTCCTACGCACAAGATACCCTCGACACGATCTTTCTGCAAGCAACATCAAATCTCCAGAATGAGAAACACACAATCTCTCTTTCTTCTTCTTTTTCTTTTCTGCCCCGCCTTGGCCTCGTTTTTTTTTCTCGATCACGATTCTTCTCTTCCGTTTCGAAACCCGTACTCTTTTTCCTCCTCATTATTTGCTCTCTCTGCCATTCTCTCCTTTCTATTTCTTGGTTTGAATAGGGCGTTTCTCTCTTAAAAATGAAACTATCGAGTTAGTTAACCCTCTTTCACCGATCACTACTTTTGAGATACATTTTAATTGAGTTTGTCTGTATTTGTTGTCGTATTTCCCTTTTAAGGACGTTTGGTTGTAACCTCCTATTTGCTCTTAGTAATAATATTTATTTTCTCTATTGTGGTTTGGGTTAAATCCAGTACCAGTAACTGTGAATCGGGCAAACCTTAGGTTTTCTTCTGAAGTGTTTGTAGCAAAGAACAAGTGGTGAAAGGTAAATCCATGAATGTATTTTGCAAAATAATTGTGGTATCTGCCCCCAGTGTTTATGGATGAGAATTCCTCCGTGTGCCGAGATAATGCATCAACAGGTTGTTGGAGCTTGCATTGTATTTAATATCAAAATCAAATAAAAAAAAATCGACTTGGAATTGACGTCGTTCTCGTGTCTGGACTATTTTGTTGCATTATATTTTTAATACTTTTTCGTTCGGTGCGAATGAGAAATTTTTTTCCTAAAAGATATTGATCAAGTAAGCTGCATTTGGGACATAATTTTTTGGTAAAAATTGATCCGAGATGAGATTCTTGTATTAAAACAGCTCCAATGCTTATTCCTGAAGTTTTAGTTTAAATTATAATTTTTTCCTTTTTAAATTTCAAAGCTTTCTATGAATATTGAACCAGTTAGTAATTTCTTTTCAGTCTGAATTGTTGAAAGGGCTTGAAGCAACTTTGGGTTCACCTTTCAGTTGTGATCCTCTTGCACCTCCTGCAAATCCGGTGATAATTGTAATCAGCGGTCCGAGTGGTGTAGGCAAGGATGCAGTTATAAAGGTAACTATTAAAACAATATGTTGCTGGATTTACATGCATACCACATATTTTTTATGTATTTAGATATTTAACACAAATTTTAATATTTACTCATGTAACTCTTATGTTTATCACATCACATCAGGCTATGGGTGTCAATTATAATATACTAGGGATTAAGCAATTATAATATACTAGGGATTAAGCTCATTGAGCCAACTTTCAATTCATTGTAATGTGTCAAGTAAACTTATGAAACATAATATCTATTAATTGCATTATTCATCAAAAAAGGTCGTCGTTCACGAGCAGAAAATGCTGGAGACTAAGAAACTTTTGTGAGCAGTTCATTTTCTGCTCGTTTAGTAGCTTGTATTCAATTTGCTCGTTAAGAAAATGAGCCAAGTCAAATATGAATAATTTTTTTGAGCTTAATTTATAGACAAACTGGACATGAACATGTTATTCACGAGCCTATGTCTAACCAAAAAGTGAAAAAGAAAAAAAATCCAACAAGCCGAATGCAAACAAGCAATGAGCTCACTAAAATTCGCTCATTTACACCTCCTTTGTGTTTAGTCTGTCCTGCATAATCTATTATATTATGCGAGTAATCTATAAAAAAAGGGGGATATGTGGGCTCCATAGATTATGTGTTTATACTGTTTGATTATTGTTTTGCAGAGGCTGCAAGAGGTTCGTGATGGAATTCATTTTGTCGTGACAGCAACAAGCAGAGCGCGACGGCCCGGCGAGATCGATGGGAAGGATTATCATTTTGTCTCAAAGGAAGAGTTTCTTGCCATGATTGAAAGAAATGAGCTTTTGGAGTATGCTCTAGTTTATGGAGATTACAAGGGAATTCCAAAACAACAGGTATATTATTTACATCCTTTTATTATGTGGAATTATATAAATCCGTGTGGTTAAATGTGAATTTTAAAAGATATTTAGACCTTTCATACACATAAAAAATATCACCATTTTAACTTTTAGAAAGGGAGATATACCTTTTCATGCATAGGTTAGGTGGTATGTATGTAAAAATTGAATTTTGGGTGTTAGATATATAAATACATTTGATATGTGGGGTATGTATGCAAGCCTTCCAAGAAATTTTTATGATTGACAGTTGATCAAATTTGGGTCAATATATGAGTTCTAAATTATCTCTTGGTTGAGAAAATATTACTTCAGGAGTCTTAATATAGTTTCATGTGCGGATGGTAGTATTTAGGTGTTATTAGTAGTATTGTGGTGTTATTCTATCAAAATAATACCACAATACTACCAGCAACACCTCTAATAACATCATCCGCACCTAATCCGGATGTAATATTTTTTCTCTTTTGGAAACTTTTATTTGAACCTCTTTGGACACAAATAGGCCGGCTTCGAGTATATGAATCAATTTTATTAATGCTTGCAATGGTAAGGAAGTTAAGAGGTTTTGCAATTTTGTCTTTGTTTTAGGAGAAATTTATCCCTGCTTAATTATCATACAACCCCTTAGGAATCAATGTAATGAGCTCTTATGTTATTCTTTGTATGTGATTCCTTTTGCAATTCCCCTTAACTGTATGCATCTCTCTTCACTTCCCCCTTACCCTAGATCAGAGATTTTATGGCCAAAGGCTACGACATTGTTCTTCGAGTCGACGTCCAGGGTGCGGCTACCTTGAGGTCGATACTAGGCAATTCCGCCATCTTCGTCTTCCTGGTCGCCGAGAGCGAGGAGGTTTTGGCGAGGAGGCTCGTGGATCGGAAGCCGGAAAAGAACGACATCCGTTTC